AGAGAGAACAGAGACTCGCGTTGCGTTTTAAGCGAATTATTCATTCCAGTGTGTTTGGCTTTAAAACACGAGCTCTGTCATATTCTGTGATTGTCTCTGAAGAGTGCGAGCCCTCACACGTCACACGCGCTGTGTGAAGTACAGACTGAACGGATTGTCAACACATCCCACTGCTGTATGGCCAGATGAGACGCAAACTGCGTTTTCTCGACTGGATAACCAGTCTCGCTAGTAAAGTTTTGATGGATGAAGACTGCAATCAAGGTAAAGACGATTGCGGTGGCGTACAGGAGTCGTGCACGTGTTGAGTCCGTTAATGCGTGTATGAGTGCTCTTGATGCACTGAACGCACATTGTATTTATGCACAGGCACAGACATTTCCGTACATTTACGTTGTTTCCACACACATTCACGATAATATTTTGATTTGTCATGTGTAAGTTGCTGTGTTTAGTTATACTGAATGGATCCGTGTACTGTAATAGATATATGTAGTCAGCAGGCGGTTGGTTTAGGGTTTTTTGGCATCTCCATGTGGTCCTGTTCGGAATCGCAACTTGACTTCTTTAAAATGTAAAAAAGCTCTTTGTTGTTGCACTGTACACAAACTATACAATTTTGATTTTTTTTTCTTTCATATGTGTTTATATGGGCTCCTTATATCATTTGGTTCTTTGGTGTCCTTTTGGAGTTTCTAAGTGTCCTTTTTTGGAAAGACATCTACATTTATCTTGGAAAAAAAACTTGCAGAAAATACAGATTTTTAAGAATCACCCTTCAATCTTTTGGTTTACTTTGCTGGATATAGCAAATGATGACAAAATAAACATTTGAAACAAGATAAATGGTCTATGCTTCAAATTTTAAAGTAGAGAGACTTTAAAGATATATATTAGTCTCTCTACTTTAAAATTTTACATTTAATTCAATGTTTTACTTGCTCTTTCTTTGTACTTGCCACTCTCAGAAAAGAAACTATACAAAAAAAAAGTACAAAAGCTACCGCTGGGATGGTACCTTTGTACCTACATATTAGTACTGTGTACCTTTTGTAAAGGTATCACTCCAGTAACAGCTTTTGTACCTTTATTTCTGAGAGTGAATTGTGAAATTTGCTACCAATTTCTGAGTGAAAATTGTTTTTCAGTGCACTAAAACTCTGAAATGTTTGGAACATCTGGTTTGATGTCCTTGAGCCAAAAAGCCATTAGTTTTAATTGTACAAACCGCTTCTATGATGTTTTTTGGTTGGATGTGATCACTATGAATTGTCATCATTTCAAAGAGCTGCGTGAAGGTTCTTTTGGCCTTCACAGAGAAAACAAAGTCATACAAGTTTAGAATGACATGAGGGTGAGTAAATAATGATAGAATGTTATTTTTTTGGGAGGATTACTCCTTTAAAATCTTCCACGTACCATCTGGCCATCATGTTTGATGAACAACAGGCATCGATGCATGTGACATACCAAATCCATGTGCAGTTAGTGCCAAAATCCCACACTTAAGCCACACAATGCACATGAATGCAATCATTTTCCAGGATTTCGGAACTGATGGGACAGTCTGGATGCTACTTTATAAACATGGAATATGAAAATCTTAATTTACATAAATCTTTTTCTCTCCAGTTTCACATTCATCCCTCTCATCTGGCATCATACAGAAGGGTCAAGGAGAAAAAAATACAGCAAGTGTCCTTACATTTCTGCCCTTCCCACACCATCCATTAACCTCATTGAGGTTGTTGAACATTATGCAAATCCTCATCTCAATTACTAAAAATCCTTAGAATGGCAAATATTTAAAACGAATCCAAATAAAACCCGGCATTTTTGAACTCTTACAGCACACGCTCTGGCATTCCTCCAACCGTTTGTATTGTGACTGTATTCCTAATGTCCCCATTACCATTCAGATGCAGGTGATGCTGATGAAAGCAGTGGTAGGTGTTGGGTAATGCGACATGAGGCAAACAAACCGATTCCTACCTGTGCCTTCCCTGCACCCTAATGAGCCCGGACACCCGTGGACTCAATCCCCCTCACAGCTTCCTCTACAGAGGCCGGAGCGCACTCCGCATGTAGATAAGAATGCTAGGCGTGATAATTCATAAGGGTTCATTCGGGATCTTCTGGAAAGCCTTGAGAATTTCGGGGCTGCTGCGACTGCCCTTGGCCCGACGGATTAACGGCTGAGAGACCCAGCACGGTTAATCCTGGTCGCTCTATGAGGTATCATCACTGTCCCATATCTGGCATTGTCCTCAGTCTGATACCAGTCATTAGACTCCACAGCTGGGTTTATATACATGGTACTTTTAACTATGCTCTCTGCATACTATATGTATATTTGAAGCAAGCAACTCATAAATTAAATTATAGTCAAGGAATCCTTTTCAGAAAGTTATCTATAAACTACTAACAAAAAACAGCTACATGGAAGACGTTTTGTATGGTTTATCAATTTATCACTATGAGGAAGTATTTATTTTTACAATCAGTGTACATCGGGAACAAAAAAATAGTTGTGATTTCTGACTCGTGAACAAATTGTTTTGATTTGGATCATTTCAGTGAATAAGGACTGAACGATTCATTCACAAGATGAATTGAAGGGGCCAAACGTCCAAATATATCACTGACAGAGCATAATTTTGACAATCAATGTATATAAGGAACAAAAAATAGCAATCTCTGATTCATAAACAAACTGACTCAGTGATTCATTCAAAAATTGGACTGAATCATCCAGATGGTTCAGTCAGAAATTCACTGACTCGACACACCCAAAAAGTGACAAAACACACATATCTGAGCAGGTCATTTTGAGAATGGATCGTTCAGTCCTGATTCACTGAAAAAAAAAATGCTTCAAAAGAACAATTTGTTCATGAGTTTTTTTATATACTAAATACAACCAAAATGAAAAAATCTAAACAAACAGCAAAATTTTAAAATTAAAAAAAAAAGATGTAAAATGTTGCACCTGAATTGGTGAGTCGAATGATCAAATGAGCTGATTCACTAAAAAGAAGCATAATTCTGAATCTTTTAGAATCTTTTTATTACTGCCTCAGTTCAGCTGTAAGGCTAATATTTGTTTAGAAAAAGGACTTTATTAATGGTGCACTACTAAAAATGTGGTTACGTTTCTAGTGTCACTGTGTTATTCACTCCACAACACTGTAATGAATACTTCAAACACCTACCGTGATTCAAGGGCAAGAAAGGTATTTTGAGTTTCAGAGGACCAACCCTTTGTCCCAATGCCATGAACTGTAGCACAATGTCCTGAAAACACAGTCAAAGCACTCAAAACTGCCTCAACACACACACATACAAGCCTAAATGCTTTTATCTCCTAGTCTTGGCTAATGACACATTCTTTCAGTTAAAAGCTTGCACACTGTCTGCAATTAGCTAAACACATTAGTACATTAGTCCATCATTATGAACGCTCCAGTGTCTGAACATTATGTTTATGACCTGTTCAGAGCAAGCCTTTGTGTGACTTACTTCTCGAAGTAAATGACATCTTGACTAACCTCACAGTGCCCCTTCCTTGTTCTGCTGTTGATATTGCTAATGGTAAATTAGCCAGACAAAATCGCTGGCAAATGGTATTATGCTAATAGCATTAGCCCTGCCCTGCATGTGCAAGTCAGTCTGAAGTGTTCTGTGACAGCTGAAAAGCACTACATGACTCACTGACTGAATGCTAATAACGTGGCGTCTGCACATAAATCTGTATATCAAAGACAGAGGCTACATGTCAATTTCAATGCGAACATTAGCATAGTCATGTGACATCTTGATGCTCTTGAAGATTTTATCAAAGCTGGCGAATGCGTCGTGACAGATGGATAATGAAAGATGTCTGATTGTTTATTCTTTTTGTTCTGTTGGTGGGTGGATGTTATGTTTAAATGCGCTTTCTCTTTTATGTTGGCAGAGTAATCATGCTTCAAAGTTACAATTGGACGAGATTTCCCATAGAGATACTTTTATTTAAGATAATACTGACACTTTGACTCAATATTGGCCACCGAGGCTTTTAAAAACAAACAATAAATCTTTTTGCTATCTTCTTTTTCACTGCTCCCATAGACCACTTCAACTTTTTCATCCATTATTAATAACGGTAATTCTTAGCGTCATACTTGCCTCTTGCTCTTGCACAAGTCTGTTTCAAAATGGAGCTGAGTGCCCCCAAAACCATACCCAAAAATCATACACTTCACATTGATCAGAAAGTCTGCCCATAGTAGAAGAAAGAAAATATTGGCACCAAAGTATAGGGGACTGAATATTAGTGCCTCTGGAACATATGATTCAAGTAATAAGCCAACCTTTCAAGTCCACTTTCGCTTCAAAAAGGAAATGTAATCCATTGTTCTGAAATTGCAGAATTGTCTCTGAACTGGTCAACATGTTGATTTTTATGGAATATTTACTTTACATGGTGTATGATCTTGTCCGACACTGTTAGAAAGCAAAGATGGGAGTTTGGCAGAGCGAAAATAGAAGAGGGGGTGAAAAAAGAGAGAAAAATCCCATGTGTTTAAATGGTCCATTCCAAGTGACATTAGTTTTCAAATGAGGTTCAACAACTTGATCCCAATAGTTGTGAAGTAGTTTGAAGTCTGTGTATCTTCATTTCCATTGCTTTGATAAAAAAAAAAAAAGCTGCTAGTCCCAAATGTATATTGGTCCCAGACTATCGTGTGACCTGAAAAAGAGGAGTCCAAGTTATCATTTCATGTCTGCGTGTGATTTCAGCAGAGCTGGACTGGATAAAAATCAGCATCAAACCACTGCAATACCATTTATACCAGTGGATATACAGTATTTGTATGTGCAGGACTCATATACTGTTCATTATAGGATACATATAGGGAAAAAAGTTTTTTATTATACATTGAATTTATATATATGAATATATATATATACACACATATACATATATATATATATATATATATGTATGTATATATATATATATATATATATATATATATACTGTATATATATATATGTTTATATTATCATGTGTGCGTATACATATTAGGGGTGGAACAGTTCATGGAAAAAAATCGAACCGTACGGTTCTCCACACACGGTTTGGCACGTGCTAGGACCGTGGTTCAACTTAAATCTGACAACGCATCTGTAATATGGTTTGTTATAAATAACATTTACCTCTGATTTTCACCGCAATTTCTGAACTGTCCTGAGCGCGTTCTCACAGCCGGCGCCTGACGCGTCTTCTTCTTCTTCTTGCTTTACGGCGGGGCGCCGGCTTATT